ATGCCAAAGAGAAAAAGAGCTGTAAATAATAGACAACGGCGTGAGCATGACAGAGCTAGAAATCGACTGGCGAGACAGAAGTCTGTGACTGAAGAAACTTCACCAGACAAAGTGAAAGAGTTCTCTGTCCATGGCAGGACGGAGGATGGAGCTGTCCTAGCTCCTCCCGGTAATTTTCCGGGGCTTGGTTCGATGGGGTTTCCACCTAAAGAGGAAAAACCCCTGGCCAGGGTGCAGGCCTCACCTCGAGTGAAAATGCATTCACCTGCCCCGAGGTTGCCATCTCCTCGGGGAAGTCGTCTGTTTGTCCGTAACGAGGACAGGGCACCGTCCCCTGACTCCCCACCGTGGGTTTGTGCTCCACCGAGGGCACCTGGATTGGACATGGGGCATATGTCTGATCCAGCAGGTCAGGCGCAGCTGGATACCTCCAGGGAGGAGGAGACCAGTAGGATGATATCAAAAGATGAGGGCACTTTAACGGATACTGAAACGAAAACTGAACGAATATCAAAAGGAAATTTGAATGAATACAATATAGAATCTGAAAGAGAAACAAATATAAATGAGAATGAGAACAATGAGAAACATACAATTTCAGAGAATGATGGTGAAAAGAATGTGAACAATGGAAATGGTCAGTGTTGGCAGAAAACATGGAAGAGAAGTAAATATGACATACATTACTCAGTACAGGGTTCATTTCATCAAGCTCACCCTATATTTGAAGAGAATGCTGGGACACAATGTGTTGCTAATTGTTTAGCAGGATTAGCTTATCACAAACTTAAGAATGCAAAGAGCTGGACAACAAGTGATATGGATAGGATTTTAATGACAGGTGATGAATTGTATACATATCTGCAAAGGAGCTCATCAATTAGTGATAGATATTTGCTTGTTGAGGAATTACCACAACTCTTTGAATGCTTTAATCGGTCATACCAATTCCATGCTAATGAGTCAGTTTCAAGTGTTATTATGGCAAATGATTGCTTAAACTATGCCGAGTTTAATGCATTACCACTAGACAATGCACTTCAGGTTGCACTTACAGACACTGATGGCTGTTTTGTATGCTTCGGTGGAAATACTTTGCTAATAGGATCTACAGAAAGTGGCTTTTTTGCTTTTGATTCCCATTCTAGATCTTCTGACGGAATGTTAAGTGTGACTGGAAAGAGTACAAGGATTTTATTTCAAAATCTAAATGAAGTGTCTTTGTATCTTAAAAGTCTTGCTCTTTCAATGGGACATTCAGAGGGTGTTGAATGTAATTTGAGTGGCGTATTCTGCAAAATGGATTCTATTTCAAATGTCAGTACTTTGCTGGAGGAGGAAGAGGATTCCAGAAAATTGCCAAAAAGTTCAGAGCTATTGGTGGAAACTACTGTTGAATCCTATGAAAAGAATGATGATGTGATCTTTGTTGGTCATGAACAATTGCAGTATAGTTATATCCCACTTACCAATGATATGAAAAAACACATGTGTCAGGAGTTGAACATTCCCTTCATTTGCAGACAAAATATTGGCGAGGTCCAGTGTTATAGAACTAATATCACAGAACCTAGGGTTGAAAAAGAAATTATAGGGGATGGAAACTGCTTTTTTAGAGCTGTTTCATACAGTCTTACAAACTCAGAGGATTTCCATGATATAATGCGCATAGCGGTCTGTGAACATATGATGGGAAACAAAGAATTATTTAAACCATTCCTAAAAGATGGTATACAATCTGTTGAAAGTCACATGTCCTCTACTCAAATGTCACAAGAAGGAACATGGGCTACTGAGGTTGAAATATTTGCAACAGCTCATTTACTAAACATTGATTTATATACATACTCAGGAGGGTGTTGGTTAAGGTTTTCAGTTGCTGAGGTGGATCCTTGTAGGCAAAGTAGAACTGGAGCGATTTATCTGAACCACGACCAACAGAACCATTACAACGTAGTTCTTTCTGTAAATGGAGAGGAATCGAACTTACAACCTATGAAACAGGATAAAATTCCACAGGATTATCAAAAGCGATACCGAAACAGAACGCGTATGCAGGACAGCAGGCAAGCTAACCCAACAGTACAAAAAATATCAAGTGCATCAGAGAAACGGAGACAGTCTTTGAGGAGAAGGTACCAGGAAGATGTACAATTTAGAGAGAAGAAACTGAAATCAGCTTTTCAAAGGTACATAAATGATGCAGAATTCCAAGCTAATGTAAAACAAGTTAGCAAAACAAAGTATTGTAATGATTCTGAGTACCACAGTAAAACTAAAATGAGAAGCAAAAAGAGGAGTTTTGAAAGGTATTTAACAGACAAAGAGCATAGAGATTGTGTCAAAAAGAGAAGTATTGAGAGGTATGCAGTAAATGAGCAACATAGGGAAGATGTTATAAAAAGGAGTACTGAGAAATATGCAACAGATCAGCAGCATAGGGAAGAAGTAAAAATGAGAAGTATTCAGAAATATAAAAGTAATGTTGAACACAGAGAAGGTGTAAAAGCAAAAAGCAGACAGAAGTACAAATCAGATGAAATGTACAGAAATCTTGTAAATACTGCAAGTACAAAGAGGTACAAAGAAAATAAAAAATTCCGGGAAAGAAAACTTCATGCTGCAGCTGAGAATTATAAAAGTGATGAATGTTTCAGATTGAAACGAAAAGCTTTCAGTAAAAAGCAATATGAGTCCAGTGTGGTAACAAAAATGCAAAAAAAGGGAAGGGTTAAAAGTCGGAGAATTGCTCAACGAGCTAAACTAGAAAATCAGGAAGAGGTAGTGAGAGTGTTTAAAGGAAAAGCTATGCAGGGTATAGATTATTCATGCTGTTGCTGTGATCGTCTCTTTTTTCAAAACCAAGTTCAAAAATGCGAAAGAAAAACATATGCCAAGAATGAGGAGGCAGCAAATATTGCAGACTTGTGCATTCAGGAAAAGTTTTGTCACCAGTGCTCAGAGTCATGTACCGAGAACTGCGCTAAATCAAAGTTATGGATTTGTTTTACTTGTCACAGGAAAATCATGAGGGGTTCTCTTCCAGCAGAAGCAGCATATAACAAAATGGCCCTTGAAGATATTCCAGAGGAATTGAAAGAACTAAACAGCCTTGAGAAACACTTGATTGCAATGCACATACCTTTTATGAAAGTCATGGCTCTTCCTCATGGAGGTCAAAAAAATATCCACGGGCCAGTTGTATGTGTACCATCAGATCTGAAGAAAGTTACAAGTTTGCCAATGAAACCTGGAGAGGATCTTCTGCTTAGAGTGAAACTGAAGAGAAAGTTGAATTATAAAGGGTACGTCGAATACCAGTTTGTTGATTCAAAGCACATATTCGATGCATTAAATTTTTTAAAACAAAACAATCAATGGTACGAAGACATAGCTATAGATGCGAACTGGAAAGGAAATTTGAACGATTTTCAGGAAACGTCAGATAGTTGTACTCTGTTATCAGATGATGATGATCAGCAGCACATTGCAACAGATACTTGTTTACAGCCTGTTGATATTGCTCAGGAGGTTCTTGATCATTACTTTGATGATATTTATGATATTGCTCCAGGAGAAGGAAATAATCCAGTAAGGATGTTACAGGAAGAAGGAAATGAAGCTAAAACATTTCCATACCTTTTTCCAAGTGGACGTTTTTCATGGAATGACAATAGAGAAACACGAATAACACTGTCGAGATACTTCAACAACCGTCTCATGAATACTGACGGAAGATTTGCTCGAGACAGTAATTATATTTTTTTCAGTCAGTTTTTGTCTGATTTAAACCAGGTCATAGAGAAGACACAGATATCAATTAGAAAATCAGTCAGAAAAATAGGAAGTGACCAGTTTCTGACATCAGATATGGTACAAAATCCTGAAGTACTTTCGAAGTTAATGAAAAATGATGAGGCTTTGCGATTCATGCAGCCTATACGTGGAACTCCAGCATATTGGTCAGCAGCTCAAAAGGATCTTTTTGCTATGCTTAGGCAGTTAGGAATACCTACTTGGTTTTGCTCATTTTCTGCTGCAGAGCATAGGTGGAATGATGCAGTTGCCACGATATTGCGACAACAATGTGATAGCAGAGATCCCTGTTCGATGGATTGGTCAGAAAAGAATGAGGTGTTGAGAAGCAATCCTGTCACAGTTGCTAGGATGTTTGAGCACAGATTTCATGTTTTTCAGACAGAAGTGATATTTTCACCATTAGAACCAATTGGAAAAGTCTCAGATTTTTTCCAAAGAGTAGAATTCCAGCAGAGAGGGTCTCCTCACATGCACTGCTTATACTGGATAGAAAATGCCCCTAAACTTGATGAAGACGGAGAGGAAGCCGTATGCAATTTCATTAACAAATATGTTAGTTGTGCAGTGCCTTCGCAGAATGAAGATTTGGAACTGAGGAATATTGTTTTGTCAGTACAGCAGCACAGCAGAAAACACTCAAAGTCATGCAGAAAGAAGGGCACAGATTTAACTTTCCCAGACCACCTTCTGTATGTACATTCATAAATTCTCCTGTCGAGGAAGAGAGCTTAGAGAATGCTACAGAAGCTACTGATTTGAAGCATGAACGCTCAATTTCTAAAGAATTACTACTAAGAGTCTGGAATGAGGTGCAAGATGAAGTAAATGAATCACACACTACAGAAGAGATTTTTGAGTATCTGGGTTTGACACAAGAGCAGTATGAGGATGCACACAAAAGATTAGCAAAGAAGAGAACAGTTATTCTAGAAAGAAACCCATGCGAGCTCTGGATCAATCAGTATAATCCATGTCTTTTGAAATGCTGGGATGCCAATATGGACATTCAATTTGTTTTAGATCCATTTAGCTGCATTGTCTACATAATTTCGTACATTTCAAAATCGGAGAGGGAAATGGGAATGGTGTTGAAACAAACCAAAATAGAGGCAGAAGAAGGAAATGAAAGTGCACGAACAACTTTAAAGAAAATTGGTTCTGCCTATTTAAATCATAGGGAAGTGAGCGCACAGGAAGCTGTTTATCGTGTATGCAACTTGAAAATGAAAGAATGTTCGAGGAAAGTAGTGTTTGTACCAGTGGGTGAAAATCCTACTCGACTAACTAAACCATTGTCACAGCTGAAAAGAAAACATAATCTTGGGGACAATGAACATGATGAGAATAACGACGATGAAGATGACATTTGGATGACAAATATAGTAGAAAGATATGCAAATCGACCAAATAAACCTTTGTTTCAGAATATGTGTTTGGCAGAGTTTTGCTCAGAATTCAGAGTACTTGCTAAATCACAGGTTCCAAAGAGTTTTAACGAAAATGTTTTTGAACTCCAAAATAATAAGGGGTTTATCCAAAGAAGAACACGCACAAAGTCAGCTGTGATAAGATATCCCAGATTCAGTGCAGAAAAAATGTCAGAAAAGTATTACCAAAGCCTTCTTCAGTTGTTCTTGCCGTACTGGACAGAACCTCAATTAAAACCTCAAGGATTTGATCTGTATGAAACATTTTATGAAAATGGACATGTCCGAATCACGGGAAAGAAGAGTGTGCAATCAGTCAAATCAATTGTTGACACAAATCGATTGCGTTATGCTCAAAATGAAGAACTAATTGCAGAGGCACAAGAGATTTTCGAAAACATCGGAGAACCAGAGGATGCTTGGGCAAACCTTTGTCCTGAGACAGAACTAATGAGAGAGGAATGTTCTTATGAGAGAAATGAAAGTTTGGATCTGAATGTGACAGAAGATTTGCCAGACATGCAAACAGGAATAAATTCTGATGTTCTTTTCAAAGTACAACACAATACACAGTCAAAGGAGAAGGCATTACAAATCCTACAGAATTTAAACGAGACTCAAACAAAAGTGTTTTACTTAGTTCGGGAGTGGTGTTTCAAAAAACATTTTGGAGAAAAAACTAACCCCCTGCACATATTTATAACTGGTGGAGCAGGAACAGGTAAAAGTCATCTGATCAAAGCTATCCATTTTGAGGCATCGAGAATTCGCGGAAAGAATTTGACATCTCCAGACAGTGTATCAGTACTACTTGCTGCTTTTACTGGAACAGCTGCTTTCAATATCGGGGGTAATACTATCCATCATTTATTTTCACTGCCCAAATATATGTCTTTGCCATATGAACCATTGAGAGAACAGACTCTAAGTGAAATGAGAGTACAACTTGGAGACCTGCAAATTCTGGTTATCGATGAAATTTCAATGGTTTTCAAAAGGCTATTGTACTATATTCATGAAAGGCTTGTACAGATTAAGAAGTGCAGGGAACCATTTGGAGGAGTTTCAGTGATAGCTGTTGGAGATTTCTACCAGCTTCCTCCAGTGAAACAGCGTAAAGATGAAAGGCTGTATAAAGAAAATGCTGTCTACCCTGTTGATCACTGGCTTGACTTTTTCAAAGTGGTGGAGTTGTCTGAAATTATGCGGCAACGTGAAGACATCCCATTTGCAACGGCATTGAATTCACTTCGATGTAGAGAAGTAAAAGAACCACTGGAATATGATACAAATTCTATATTGAAAGAATGTGTAAGGGAGGGGCCAGATGATGTTCTTCACGTCTACGCAACAAATGATGAAGTCAATGCCTATAACTTGATAATGCTCAGGGGAACATGTGAAGACATTGTTGAGATTGACGCGCAAGACTTTACCAAAGATAGATCATCAGGCAAGCTAATCTTAAGAAGCAAGCCTTTGACAAGGTCTAGAACAGACAATCTTTCTAGCAGTCTGTTAATGGGAGTTGGAGCAAGGGTCATGCTTACAAGAAACTGCAATGTAGAAGACGGACTAGTAAATGGAGTTATGGGACATGTAACGCATTTTGTACAAGGTCAAATACATGGTGTCAAAACTGTTATTGCAGTAGGTGTAATATTTGACAATATAAATGTTGGGATGAAATCCGGAAATAAAACAAGAAATGGAAACATTGTTCTGGTTGAAAGAGTTCAAGAGGAGATACTAGAACAGAAAACAAAAAATGTTGTCCGACATCAATTTCCATTACGATTGTCTTGGGCGTGCACAGCTCACAAAGTACAAGGCATGACAGTTGACAAGGTTGTCGTTAATTTAGATCGGACATTTTCTCCTGGACAAGGATACGTAGCGTTAAGCAGAGTTACGTCAAAACAGGGTTTATTTATCGAAACAAATGACATTGGGTCGTTACAGAAAAAGATATATGCTGACCCAGAAGTCAAATCAGCTTTGCAAGGAATGCCAAAATTGATCCTACCAAACTTTGATGCATCAAAACATGGCATTACAATTTATCTGCATAACATTCAGAGTCTCAATAAACATTTTGAAGATCTGAAAAACGATATTCGCTGTAGGAATGCAGACATCATTTGCTTGACAGAGACTTGGTTGAGATCTGGGCAAAATGTTAGTTCATTAGAATTAAACGGTTTCTATTTTCACCAAGCAACAAGAGGAGATGTATATGATGAGTGCAATGCTCAAGTGTCAAAGCTGCGTACATCAAAGGGCGGAGGTGTTGCAGTTTACATCAAAGAAACTGGAGAGGAAAAAATTGTTTCTTCACTTCCTGTAAAGAATGTTGAGGGCATCTGTGTGAAATGTGTTTCACAAGACATAGTTGTTTTAACTATTTATCGCCCAATCTCTTTAGATGTTTCCCAGTTCTTATTACAATTCGAAAAGGTGATGTCTTATTACAGATCACAAAGTCAGTTCTGTGTTTGTCTGGGAGATTTCAATGAAGATGCAAAATCTGCAGGGACTATACAAACTTTTATGACCAATCAAGGTTTAAAACAAATGGTTGATTTTAATACAACAGAAGGAGCGACAATACTTGATCATGTGTATTTATCAACATCCTTACATGCAGAAGTGAAAAAAATATCAACATACTACAGTTATCACGATGCCTTGATGGTTACCATCATATCAGACACAGAAAATATTAATTGAATCAATTACTTTTGCTAGTCTTAATTGTTGCAAGATCTGCTCGACATTTTCACATAGCACAGTTAAACTTAACTGGTGACCAGTAGTTCCAAAATATTTGACTTGAAAAGACAACATCCGGATTGGAGAGTATTGAATTGTGTAAACAAGTGTTAAAATCATCAGCAGCAACAATGCATAATGCCTTTGCACTAGTTATAAAGTGTAACATGCTCTGTGGCAATAGACTGTGAACCTACCGGTTTATTTTTCAATGAAAGATGAAATAAAACAAAACCCATAGAATCACACAAGAACACACTTTATTTCATATTTCATAGCTATGAACAGAGACTGGTTAGTTACATTATATAGGGTCATTATGATTTGACTCCTTGAATTAAGGCCCACAAGAGCAAAGAGTATTTAATTAATACAATGTAGCTCTTAAACGATCAATATAGAGCTGGTTTCGTAATACCTAACGGATTTCACTGTTTGTGACGTGCTGACGCTATGCTTGTCGAGAACTTTAAATACTACGTCACATTCTCGCCACATTAAAGGAGTTAGCCGAGATCGGGTCTCTCCCACGCAAAAGTCTGTCCTTGAACACACATGATTCACAAACAGTGAAATTCGTTAGGTATTATGAAACCAGCTCTATTGATATGAATTACCGAAGCTAAAGTGTTCATCTAAACGATTTACAACTATATATCATATATTAAGAAACTTTGATCAGATGTTATGCCCTGAGGGGTCACAAGAAACAAGAAAGCTAGGTCTTTGATGCTTTATATATCTCGAAAAGGGGAAAATATTTTGAAAAGCAGTATTGGCCCTTTGATATTTCAATTAATCATACCCCAAAACGAAAAGATTTCTCTGAATAGCTGTTGAACAAGTAGTCTTCATATTACAAGAACTTTCATTTGGTAGCATGAAAAGTGGTTAACATCTTAAATAGGGGTCCCCAGAGCTTAAGGTCCAAATTCTTTTATCTATAACCCTTTAATAATCAGTATATTGCTATGAATTATTGCAGCAAAAGTGTTAATGAAACGATTGACAACTATAATTAATAAATATTTTATCATACAGGGTGTCCTTAAAGAAAGGTAACACTTTAACAATTTGATAACTTCGCTAAATCTTGAGCTATTTCTACGAAACTGGTATCATTCGAAAGGTCTCAAACGAAATTTTTTACCATGAGAAATAATTTGAATGTGTTACCTTTCTTTTCGGACACCCTGTATGTTCTTAATAAAGGGTCAGATGGGTCACAATGCTAAATTTTTGACGCTTTTTATCTCGAAATAAATTCTTATAAGAAATATTGAACAAAAGATGGGTTGAATAATATTTTAAACAATATGCTTCCATTTTATAAAACAGCCCCATTAAGGCCTTTGAGGGTAGGCCTCTAGATATTTCCATTTAACATATCTCTACAACGAAAAGAAGTTTCTTAATAGGTGTTGAGCAAAGTCTTCGTATTTATTAGACCTTTTATTTGATATAGTTATGATATAATTAAGAAAAATAGGCTGACCCCTCAAATTAGTGGTTTTAATGGGCCAAAGGACTTTAACTTTTCGATAATGATTTCTTAATCAAAATAATGAAATCTTATGACGGAAGGCTTTCAAATTTCATTATTTTTTCACAAAAAGCATAGTCAAAATCATATCTCATCTTATCGAAAAATCGGACGGAAGACCTACTCGTTGCTCGCAACGAGATCTCATCTAGTTATTATTATTTTTTTTCTTACCGATTTTGTGCACGCGATTTCTCAGAAACGGCTGGACCAATTCTCACCAAATTTTCAGATCTGATAGATATTTATCTGAACCTTGTCGGAAATTTTTCGTAAGTACGTCGTCACTTCCGGTCGTGAGATATGGACGATTTACTGATTTTTAGAGGGTCAGCTTGTCCTGAGATCTCCTCCTAAACGACTTAAGATATCGACTTGAGATTTTCAGTGAAGGTAGAGGAAGGATAGTAGATGTGACATTTTGCATATAAAGCTTTCCAGGTAAGAAGGCATCGACGCTCGCCTGGGATCGAAAAATAGCCTCGTACTCATCTCGCAAAAATTGACAAGTTTTCTTTTATATCTTTTTACCTGTTAATATTTTGTTAAGACATATATAATAAAAAATGTGCAATATAGTAAGACCTTTCATTTGATATCAAGTAAATGGGGTTAGTTCTTCAAATTAGGGGCATAGAGGGGCCAAAAGTCTCTCGTCTTTAATTTTTTTGTTTTTCAATATTTTCAAATGATATTAGTATAGTTGATAGAAACATTTCTTATTAGGCTGAATATATAGTTCGTTTGTAAATTTATAAATTCATACTCGAGATATTAACATTCAAAAATCTGAAGCAGGAACTAAATGGCGGTGGTCTCTGTCAATTCCGACATTTCGCAATAGCGGTTAACAGAGGCAGCCGAGCGTTTGCTTGAACGAAAGTAACATAAGGAGCAATGAAATGTGTAGGGATACTTGGATTGTCACGTCGTAGGTTCGTTGCAATTCTGTGTCAAACTACATTCATAATCCACGGTCTCCTTACAAGTTTTCTTTAATTGGTTTTGGTTGTTTCTCAAAGTAGAAAAAAGAAAAGAATGTGCAAATGTGCAAATTAAGTACGCATTGATGATATTATCTAAATCAAAAGGATTTAATCAAAAGAGAAAAGGCATGATTCCATGATGTTTTATCAAAGATCATAGTCAAAGTCATATCTCATCTTATCGAAAATTCGGACGGAAGACCTACTCGTTGCTCGCAACGAGATCGCATCTAGTATTAAGGTCTTCCGTCTTCAGCGGAAGACCTTCTTGTTATTCTTAGGTTTCTTTTCCACTATTTTTAAGGTCTTCCGTCTCCAACGGAAGACCTTATTGTTTTCGTTCGGTTTCTTTTTCCCTATTATTATGTTCCCCAAACGGAGTTTGGGAACATATTGTTTTTACTCTGTTTCTTATTAAGGTCTTCCGTCTTCAGCGGAAGACCTTACTGTTATTCTTAGGTTTCTTTTCCACTATTTTTATTATTGTTTTTTTTTCTTACCGATTTTGTGCGCGCGAGTTCTCGAGAACGGGTCGATCTATTTTCATGAAACTTTCAGGTCTGATAGAACATCATAAAATCTAGATATATATTTTTTTATTTTGATGACGTCACTTCCGGTTCGGAGTTTTCTGCGATTTAGTGATTTTTAAGGGTCACTTTGTCCGGCAGTTTTCTCAAAAAGTACTTAACACAGAAGCATGACATTTTCAGTGATGCTAGAGCAAACTTTGGAGAAGTGCCTTTTGTATATCACAACTACCGGAAGTACGACGCACCGGCGCTCGCTATGGGCCGAAAATAGTCCTATCATGACTTTTAAAATTTTTAACGCCTTTTCTATGATAACTTTTTACCTAGAAATATTTTGTTAAAACATATGGAACAAAAGAAGTGTAGAATTACACGATCTTTCAATTGATATCTCAAAAAAAGGGCTGACCCCTAAAATTAGGGATTTAGAGGGGCCAGCAGTATTTTCCTGATATCTCAAAAAGTATTGACAATTTGTTAAGCATCATAGAAGAAAAGTTGTTCAGAATAACAAATAGCAGATGCGGAGATCATTTAAAGTAGTTAAGATGGCGTCACTTCCGGTCAGACCGGAAGTATTTGTAAATGGCTCGTTTTTGCACACATAACCGTAAATGTCTAACAATCTCGATCTCATCATCTTCAGAATTAGACGGAAGACTTATTTGTTGCTTTGCAACAAGCTCGTCTAGTTAAGGTCTTCCGTCTTCAGCGGAAGACCTTCTTGTTATTCGTTTGTTTCTTTTCCACTGTTTTTAGGGTCTTCCGTCTTCAGCGGAAGACCCTTCTATTATTCTTCGGTTTCTTTTTTTTACCTTTATTATTATTATTATTTTCATTCTTTTTTCTTCTTACAAAATTTGTGCAGACGATTTCTCAGAGATGGCTCGTTCGATTTACTTCACAGTGGATGCGTTGTTATCTGAAGTTAATTCCGGCAAAGTATTTTTTGGAAATTCACTTCCGGTCAGGAGTTATCGCCCTTTGATCAAAATTTAGAGGACCTCCTTGTCTGTGATGGAACTCAAAAACAACTCAAGCTAGAAAGCTGAAATTTTTAGTGATGATAGAGGACATGTTGCCACGTTGCAACATGGTCAGGATATTTTCCGGAAGTGCCTAGTATGGAAGCTCGGTAGGGGTCAAAATTTCGGACACGTTTTATGAGTGATTTTTTGAGACATTTTGTATCATATCTTTTGAAATATAAATATTTTGTTAAAACATACTGAACAACATTTGTGCAAAATATCAAGATCTTTAATATGATATCAAGAAAAATGTGCTGACTCATCAAATTAAGGGCTGAAAGGGGCCAATAGTTTTTATTCAATAACTTTTTAAAAGTCAATATTTTGTTATACATTACTGAAGCAAAGATGTTCATCTCAACCATCTACAACTTAATATTATGATTTTTATGTCGTATGGTGCATAATTAGGGGCCACAAGGGGCCAGAATGCTAATTCTTTGATGCTTTATATCTCGAAAGGGAGAAATATTTTGATAAGCAATATTGAACAGAAGTTGTTCAAAATAATGTTCTAAACAATATGCAACCTTTCATTTTTTGCTAAACGTCCCCATTAAGGAGTTGAAGGGTTGGCCCCTAAAAATTTCTTTTTCTAATATCTCAAAAACGAAAAAGAATTTCTGAACAATTGTTGAACACAAAACCTTCAAAATCTTAAGATCTTTAAGATGAGATCCCGAAAAAGGGGCTGGGCACACGAATTAGGGGCCAAGAGGGGCCAAAAGTCTTCAATCGATAACTCTTTATCGGTTAATATTTTGTAATACATAACTGAAGCAAAGATGTTCATCTCAACCATCTACAACTATATATTATGATTTCCATGTCGTATGGTTCAAAATTAGGGGCCACAAGGGGCCAG